CTTCTGAATGACCTCGTAAAGATCGTCAGCGGTCCTTTCCAAGTTTCTACTGCTTGCAAATTGCTCAACAAAGCGATCTGTCAGTGATGCAAAAGAGTCAATTGAAGCGTTAGGTAGGTTTGTAAACCACTGGAGAGCTGGTCCAGTAAGACTTGAACCAAACCCCTTGCACATGGTAGCTTCGCGAAGTTCTTTTGCAACTACTGTGGTAAACATTCGTTGCTTATACTGTGCTATGTGATTATCCGGATCTGTTGTTCCATCATACATCTTCATCGAAGGAAGTGTGAACTTCTTTGGCATCTCTGTCAATGCGATCGCATCCGTAAATGGAGTATCTGCATAGGAGTTAGGAGCGCTTTTCGCGATTCGAGGAGCCACACTGGGAAGTCGGGCGATTAAAAGCTCCATAGCTTCCAAACGCTTTGTGAAATCATCTGCAGCGGTCCCCATTGTAGCCGTAAGAGGATCTTCCAAGGGCAACATAGGGGGAACGCAAGCTCGGAATCTGGCACGAGCGTCGGCTGCAGTGTTTCCATCATCAACCAAAGAAGCGTTCACCTCCTTCAAGGAAGCGTTTTCTGCTTCCAGTTATGCAAGTCGCTCTTCATACTGCTTCATCTAGGCGGTGAGTGCCTCTAGTTGAGTAGCATGAATGTCGGGGGTGGTGTTTCCGTCATTATCGCCTTCTGTCATATCTCACGTAGTTAAGACTTCCCCTCTCTCTAGCGCCAAACTGTTTGGGCAAATTTTAACCGGTTCGCGTGTGAATTGTCCTACGGAATGACGAGAAGAGATAGATCTTTATTAATCAACGAATATTGAGTTACAAGTAATCAATATGAAAATCAAAGTAAGTTGGTATCGTCCGTCGCTCGGTAGTCGTCGACGATTGGCGAGAGCGAAGGTACAAAGAGATCTGATCGTTCGGTTCTCTGTTGCGGGAATAGAGTTTTTAGGGTTTTCTGCAGTATGTGTTTGTGTGTCCGTCCTTGCTCTAGGACTTCTCTATTTATAGGGTTATGTCAATCCTAATTCTTATTGAATTAGGTTTTATATGTCGGTCGGTCTTTCCATATTTCCCTTTGAATTGGGAGCACATGTCGGTCGGTCACTCCAACTTTTCTAGACGGTTTATTCAAGAATATGAACCACCGACTTATAATAAACCACTGGTCAATGTTAAACCGATTGACAAAGACGAATAGTCGATGTTGAGACTCTCTCTCTAGTGACCGTTTGTCACTCCGATTCTTTTCAGGTACATGATCACAATGACCGTTCGTCATTCGTACTCTCCTATCAGCGACACGATCACAATGACCATTCGTCACTCCTTTCCTCTTGCCAATGACATGATCACAATGACCGTTCGTCACTCCTTCTTTCTTAGCAGCGACATGATCACAGTGACCGTTCGTCAATCCTTTTCACTTAGCAGTGACATGATCACATTGACCGGATAATGAATTAATTTCACCCAACAATTATAAGTTAGTTGCGGCTTAAGTCTGTGGAAAATAATTCATAACGACAACCACAGCCGTTACTCCGATCAACGCTGGTTTTTTCAGCGTCACCTGCGTCGCCGGTAACAGAAGTAGCCGCAGCGTCACCGTTTTTTCTATTCTACTGTTTCGTTGCCGTCATTTACAGTTTAATTTTTTACCGCATGCCGCTGACGCAACATGAGGGAAAAGAACATACCTTACATCCAAAAAGAAGGAAAATACAAGATAACAAAGCAAAATGTACCAAAAAGTCCACCAAAAGATAGATTGTAGATATACTTCATCAAAAGGAATCATAAGAGGTTGAAAACAGATACAATCTCAGAAAAGTTTTGATTTTCCGTATCCAGTGTCTCCTCTTTTGTTTCTAATGGAAAATCCATTAGGTTGACCTTCTAACTATCTAACTATCCATTAGGTTTTAGGGTTAAAGACAGGCAACGAGAAAAAATCCATAATTATTAATTACGTCTTTATAGTTTTTTACAGTCATAAACTTTTATATGACCCTCTAAATATCTAGATTTTACAGAATTGACCAAAATTGTTTCCATTATAATCCAAACAGAGATCAGACAATAACCATTATTCATGTGTTTTTTGACATGTCAATTGAGAAAGATTTATGAAATATATTTAATTCAAATTAAGTAAATCAATCTACAATGAACTGAATCGAATTATATGATATGTGAATTGATTTCAATTTTAGAACCGTAGATTTTGTTTATTATCTAAAATATAGAAATTAGAATCAAATCAAAATAAAGAAGAAAAAAACTTGATTAATATTTGTTTTTCACTCTAAATAAAGAGATATATTGAATTCGCTAAAATAGTAATGAAACTATATATTTTGTTTAATCAAAGTGTAACTGAAAACCGGCAAACTATAAGGCCGAAAGTTTAGAGCTACAAATAGAGAGTAAATGAGAGAAATTTTCTAATCACTAGTCGCTTTTGTAGAGTAATCTATAGCGGTAACTTTAACATTTATCTTAAGATAAATTTTAGTTAATTGACAAAAACTTTTTTTGATAATTTTATTTATGATCAGAGTAGAAATTATACTACAACTATTTTTTGTGTTTTTTGGCCTCTCAATTGAAGAGATTCGCAAGGGAAGATTATTTCAGATTAAGCAAATTGATCCATGATGAACCAAATCAAATAACCTGATTCATAAATTGATTTCAATTTAGCACCGTTATAAGAGTTTTACTTTTTTCTATATTTGAAATACGGAAACAATATCCAAAATTAACTGATAAAAAAACTTAGTTATAATTTTTTATTTTCACTAAAAATAAAAAGATATTTTATTCCAATAAAATAGTTATAAAAGTGTAACTAAAATTCTCATTTGACCAAAATGTAACTAAAAATTGAAAGGCTAATGCAAGTTTTAGGATTATAGATGAGAGCAACTCTAGAGCCACCAATGACATTTTCCATAACGGCCCATTTTATACATTTAGGAAAATTTTAAATTTGACCCTCTAATTATCTACATCTTTAGAAAATAAACCAAAACTACTTTGGTAAGACTCTTTTTTAAGCTGAGTTAATATACTTTAACCACAATTTTTGGTTTTTGTCAATTAATTGTCGATTTGATTTGTTATGCTTTGGCCAATATGTCACTAACATATTTAGGTCAAATCTCTTAATTGATTTTTGTATAATCTAAGCGTTTTTCTACTATAATCCTCTAACTATCTACGCTTTTACAGAATTGACCACACCTGTTTCGATTATGACCCGATCAGAGATTATAGTATAGACGCTATTGTGTGTTTTTTTGTCTCTCATTTGAGAAAGATTTATAAGGGAAGTTTATCTTGAATTAAGCAAATTGATCCATAACGAACCGAATCAAATAGTGTGATACGTGAATTTATTTCATAACTAACGCCGTTACAAAAGTTTTATTTTATTCTATCTCAGAAAAAATGGAAATTAGATCTGAAACAAACTAAAGAAGAAGAAAACATTGATTAAAACTGAATCGCAAGTTTTAGGGTTAAAATTGTAATAAAAATATGTAATTGAAAATTAATGAACTATAAAGCCGAATGGAAGTTTTAGGGTTAAAATGGAAAAGCAATAGACAACTTATCTAATGACAAACTTTTACTTATATCTTATGAGAATTTTGAATATGACCTTCTAATTATTTACACTTTATAAAATTGACTTAATATTTTTGATAAAACTTTTATAATCTTAGTAGAGATTATACTATAGCCATTATTTATGTTTTTTGTATTTCAGTTAAGAAAAAATTATGAAAGAACTTTCATTCAGATTACACAACAAACCAAATCAGAAAAATAATTAGCAAATTGATTTCGGTTTTAGCACCATTATAAAGGTTTCGATATATATACATTAGCAATATAGTGGAACGCATATTGCTTAAATGACCACACAATTTATCTCTTTTTTTTTTGCTAATTCACAGTTTACCTAATTAGTAATTACGAGTCATGTATATTTTTGTCCATGAACATGCGTTATATGATACGTGTGTTTAACAAAATTTATGAACAGTTATTAAGTTGGTAGTAGGAGATGCCCTCTAAGGTACTACCTACTATATAAAATATGATACTAATTACCAAATATGTCTAGCTACATATTTTCCTTTGGTTTTTCTAATTCTACATAATTAATAAACTCAAAAATGTGAAGAGAATCAAATTAATTGGATCTGGCGCTCTTGCAAGAAGCTGTGAGTATAAGGTTCATTATGTCAACAAAGAAAAGGAATAACTCAAACCGCTAATCTTGATACTTTGGGTTTGGTTTAGTCACTCGGATTGGTCTTTGATTCAGCGCTGAACGTATTCTGCTTCATCATTCTTTTTACCTACTTGACCATCTTCTGTGTCATCATTCTCCTCAGATACTTGACCATGTGCTGGCTCAACATTCTCCTCAGCTACTTGACCGTGTTCTTGCTGATCATTCTCCTCAGCTACTTGACGGTGTTCTTGCTGATCATTCTCCTCAGCTTTTCAAAGCTTCTTCTTCTTCATGAGTGGGTTCATTGGCAATCTCCCTCTTTGAACCAGCAGCAGCCATTAGCTTACCATTGTCAACTATTACGCCAGCATCAACAAATATATATATAAACCACTTGTTACTGTTGCCGTCAAAAATCTTACTCACATTCATATAATATGGCATGTGAAAAAGTGACCATCCAATTCAACCTAAAACAAAACCCAAACCACTCATTCGTTACAAGTTATGTGAAATCCATCAACGTTCTTGTGCTCATCTAACGGCAGGAATACAATAACATAAGCAACTGCTTTTTCATATAAATGGAAACAATTTTTCTAACAACTGTTAAAACATGGTAAACAGCACAAGAACAAAACGCATTCTTAGTATAGTCGTTATCTTATGTTTTATGTTTTAGAGAGAGAACAAATATTTTACGTTCTCTTTAGAATCTGAAATGTTGTTTCTAGCTTAAACATCAGCTCAGGCACATAGTCCAATGGATCTTTCACCTTCAGGCTCATGATTTTAAACTTAGCTCTGCTCATTTGATCAATATGTAACGATCAGAGAAAGGTATTCATCAAAGAGGAGGAATTCTTAAAAGATAAGGTGGTCATTCAAACAAAGGTATTTTCTCCAAAAGATTACATCTAACATCAAACAGAATCCTCCTCCAGCTTCCAAAACATTAACATCACAAAACAGTTTTTTCCTACACCACCTCTTCCTGCGAGTATTTCTTTTCTATGTAGTCTCTTCAGATGTCATAATCAGCAAAGGTGATGTTCTGTTACTGACCAGCTTAAATACGAAGGAACATCCGACTTTCTGACCATTAGCCTCACAGAAACTTCTCCATACACGTGTGATGTAAACTTCACCAGATGATTTCCTACAATATAAACCTGATGTCCATTTTCTTCCATGTTTGTCCATCAGAATTATCTCATCGAATCTTCCGGTCAGTATGTTGGATCTTGAAATATTCTTTGGAAGATACTGCAACACCAAATAGTCAAACAGTTACTTTCATCTAGTTGTATGTCATTAAATATTGTATATTAGTACGAAAAGAGAGAAGTGCTAACCAAGCAATTTTTCTTTAGATTCGAGACAGTGACAGAGGCCACGAAGCTAGGACTATCTGACATACACAAAGATTCCAAATTCTTCTTTTCTTCTGCAGACACATGTTCAACTTGTGACTCAGTCCTCTTCTGCGTCGAGTTTTTTCCTGGATAGAAAATGGAGATTGGAGATTGTTAGTTTATTTTATGTATTCTATATAGTTTATTTTAATAAGAACCGCTTTATAAATATATATTCCATGCATCAAGAATACAACTGAGATCACCTTTTCCTATTGCACAAGATTCAGAAGCAACATCAGAGCTTTTCTTTCGACTACTTTTCTTTGTATCAGACCTTCTCATCTTTTCCTTCTCCTCGGCTACTTGGGATTTCAAAACTTCTTCTTTAAGAGTGGGATCATTGGTGATCTCTGTCTGTTTCTCAAGCAACTCATCATCAGTGTCTGAAAAGGTTTGTTGATTCTCTCCAATATCGTTAATGCCATCTCTCTCGCTGCTTACAATGTCTAAGAAAATCATATGTTATAATCAAAGGTAAATAAACTGATAATTTCCAATAACATCTCATAATAAGTATCATAACATCAATATATATTCCATCAGCAAGAAATGAGAAGTTACTTTTTCCTTTTGCACAAGATTCAGTAGCAACATTAACCTTTACTCCTCCACATAACTTTAGACTCTCATCCGAGGTTTTCTTTCGACTACTTTTATTTGCATCTGAGTTTTTAATCTTTCTCTTCTTTGACTTCTTCTTCTCAACTACTTGGGTGTTTAGAGGTTCTTCTTCAATAGTGGGGTCGTTGGTGATCTCTGCCTTTTTCTCAAGCAACTCATCATCAGTGTTTGAAAAAGTTTGTTGATTCTCTCCAATATCGTCAATGCCATCTCTCTCGCTGCTTACAAAGTCTAAGAAAATCATATGTTATAATCAAAGCTAAATAAACTGATAACTTCCAATAACATCTCATAATAAGTATCACAACATCAATATATATTCCATCAGCAAGAAGGGAAATCAGAAGTTACCTTTTCCTTTTGCACAAGATTCAGTAGCAACATTAACCTTTTTTCCTCCACATAACTTTAGACTCCCATCCGAGGTTTTCTTTCGACTACTTTTAGTTGCATCTGAGTTTTTAATCTTCCTCTTCTTTGACTTCTTCTTCTCAGCTACTTGGGTGTTCAGAGGTTCTTCTTCAATAGTGGGATCATTGGTAATCTCTGTCTGTTTCTCAAGCAACTCATCATCAGTGTTTGAAAAAGTTTGTTGATTCTCTCCAACATCACCAATGCCATCACTGCTTACAATGTCTACAAAAAATCATATGTTATAATCAAAGCTAAATAAACTGATAATTTCCAATAACATCTCATAATAAGTATCACAACATCAATATATATATTCCATCAGCAAGTAATCAGAAGTTACCTTTTGCTTTTGCACAAGATTCAGTAGCAACATTAACCTTTACTCCTCCACATAACTTTAGACTCTCATCCGAGGTTTTCTTTCGACTACTTTTAGTTGCATCTGAGTTTTTAATCTTCCTCTTCTTTGACTTCTTCTTTTCAGCTCCTTGGGTGTTCAGAGGTTCTTCTTCAATAGTGGGATCATTGGTAATCTCAGTCTTTTTCTCGAGCAACTCATCATCAGGGTTTGAACAAGCAGCCTTCTTAGCTTTCACCGTAGCATCAACAAATATAAATCTGTTCTTCTTACTGTTACATGCAAAAGCCTTACTCACGATCATCGAATCTGGCAAGTGATAAAAGTGACCACTCTTTTTAACCTGAAAGAAAATAACCACTACTTTTGCTGTTAAAACAAAATTTGTAAAACAACAACTACTTTTGCTGTTAAAACAAAATTTGTGAAACAAAGGCAGCGAAAGCTCTACCTTTACGGCAGAAATGGTAATTTCCCCTTTTTTTGGGAAACAATGTGGATGCTCCGTAAGTAATTTTTTCTGTAAATAAAAGAAAAGGGAAAATTAGTAAATGAATGACATCACCAAGCCAATAATTTTACTTTAGAAGTCGTTTTCACCTTTCAAAACAGAGACGTTTTCATGCTTGTGAAGGAGAAGCACGAGATAAGTGTCGAGACTTGTCTCAATCCACACGCGGTGCATCTCCGAAGCGTCTGATCTCAGTCGTTGCTCTCTTCTCTTGCTTTCTAGTGGTTCGAGTGAAAATCTTAAGGAATCGCCTGTAAACAACGAAGAACAGAGCACAAAAAGTAAAAATCTAACAACATGCAGAGAGCAAGAGAGGGAGAGTGAGAGTGAGAGACAGAGAGAGATATTTACAAGGTGGGTGTTGAAGCCTGGAAGAATGGGCTTGAAGAAGTGTGGATTGACCGAAAGAAGATGAGAAGATTGAACAAGGATTTTTCAGTGAGGAGTTTTAGAGCTCTCGTCTTTTCGTTTTCCCAATGTTAAAAGCTCTGATCTGCTTCTTGTTCATCTTCTTCTACTCTTTTATTCTTCACTTCGATTCGTCTAGAGACTAAAATAACCTCACTGGGGCCCGTTTCTCTTTTTGTGGGCCTTTCTGCATTCAAGTCCATTCTTCATGAAGCTTTCGGTTTACTTCCAATCAAACCAGCTAGAGATTTGCGTGGTTATTATCTAAGTTAAACCTTTAACCAAAAGTCAACATACATACCAATAAAGAAGAAACTGGGAATAAGCGTCGAGTTTTTTTATGGGAAAAAATCTTAAAAATACCTCAAGTTTATAACTTTTGCCAGAAAAATACCCAAACTATTTACGCTTCCTTTTTAATATCTGACATTTGTCTGACTACCTCTTTAATACTCGAAAATTCAAAAATCGTAAGTTTCACTACCAGTTTTTAATCACGATTAATTGTTAAACGGAGACTGTGATACGGTGTTAAAAAAATTAAACACGTGGGTTTAACTCTAACCCAAAAAGACAAAAAAACCTGCCTGGACATACGTATTGTATTCTCTTCCCACGTTCTTCCCCAAATCAAAACATAAACCCTAAATCGATTTCCCCAAATCGATTTTCCCCAATTCAAATCCAACAAATCGCTAATCGAAAAACCCGTACTCTTTACTCTCTCGTATCGCTATTTCTCTTCGAAAGCGATCTGCGTCTTCACGTCGATTTCGTATAACCATATGAGACAGTGATTTGCAACAAGCAAAATAACAAGCAAAATAACAACAAGCAAAATAACAACATTACAACAAAGACAATCGCATCTACTTCTTAGCCATTGTTAGGATCATCGCTGTGACAACAATGAATCCTCCCCAGGATATCACAATGAATTGGCGTAAAAGCTTTTCCTTCTCTTTTGAGGCCATCGCTTCAATTTCAAGTTTTCTCTTCTCTTCTGCAATTTTCTCAAACATCTCCAAATTCATCATACCTGAATCAGCTCCATTCAGATCTTTGTCATTGCATGCTCGGAGAGACTCGTTAAGCTCCTTGAGTTGTTCTTTTTGTCGCCTAATCTGATTTCTCGCCTCAAGCAAGCTAATCTTCTGCCCATCCAAACGGCTTTTCCTTGTCAGCCCAACAAAGAAACCCATGTGTATCACATTTGTAAAACCTTCTTCCTGGGTTTTCATCAGTCCATGATTTCGCCATGGTCGTCACTTTCCTGCAGCGACAAATCGGATTTTCCATCTGGGTGTATCCATCGTTGAACGAGTTAGCAGATGATGATGAGTTTTCCATTGATTGGTGCGAGAGACTGGCTAATAAAAGCGAACAGAGCTGAGATAAAAGCGAAGATGTGAAGTGAAGGGAAAATCGATTTAGGGTTTATGTTTTGATTTGGGGAAGAACGTGGGAAGAGAATACGATATGTATGTTCAGGCAGGTTTTTTTTTGTCTTTTTGGGTTAGAGTTAAACCCACGTGTTTAATTTTTTTAACGCCGTATCACAGTCTCCGTTTAACAATTAATCATGATTAAAAACTGGTAGTGAACTTACGATTTTTGAACTTTCGAGTATTAAAGAGGTAGTCAGACAAATGTCAGATATTAAAAAGGAAGCGTAAATAGTTTGAGTATTTTTCTGGCAAAAGTTATAAACTTGAGGTATTTTTAAGGTTTTTTCCCTTTTTTTATCGGAGTTTCTTATGAGTTTTTAGTGAATTTTTTAAAAATATTTATGATTAAAATAAAAAATTAATAATCTTATATATAAAATACAATCAACTCTTTCCGGTTGAGTAACACATCAACAATAGAAAGAGTGACATGTGGCACATTCAAAAATTAATTAAATTTAATTTAAAGCAAAACATATTAAAACTTAAATAAATATTAATATATATATATATATATATATATATTAGAATGCAATTCAAATTAAATTTAAATATAGAAAAACTTATAAATATTTTATAATACAAGATTTTTTAAATGCACTATTCTATTTTCTTTTTTTAAGTGATTTAAATTTTATCTTCAAACTAAAAATATACTAAATTTTAATGTAAATAAAAAAACAAATTAAGACTGAATAAATTAAGAAGTTTCTCAAATATTTTTATATAAAACTTCAACTAATAAATTATAAAACACAAAAAAATATTTAATAAACGATTAAAGAGATAAAAATTATTAAAAAATAATAGTATAAAGAAAGGTATGCACATAAAAAATGTCATATATGATTTTTAAAAAACTTGTAAAATGGAATCAATACAATATATATAACTAAAAAAATTCAAAATGGTAAATTGAAAAAGTTAACAAGTATTATATTAGTAAGATTTACAAGAATAAAAAGGATATGAAGATCGAAGAGCAAATAAATATTTTTCTCTGATATTCAACGTATATTTTTGAGTGAATTATTACGTTTTCATACAAAAATTAAAATAGTAGATTTTTAGTCCTTTATTAATTTGGAAGAAAAAATTAGACTATTTGGCACAACCGGTGTAGAAAAGATTACAAATAATATATCATCAAAAAGATATCGCAGAAAATATAAATATTTTAAACGTATAAACATTGATAATAAACATAAAATTCAATACAGATTTTTAAAATATACTATTTAAATATAAATTAAAATAAAATCGGTGCATATGCACGGGTTTTCTATTAAATAAGGGAGATCTGAGAAAGAGAATAACATCCTTGTTAGCATTTTTGCTTCATCACAATTTTCAACGTCATTACGAAGCTCTTGCATTTGGGAAACAAAGGTCTGCTCCACTGCTTCACGAATGGTACTTGCGTGCTTACTAATGGCCTCAACAATGGGATCTAAGTAAGTTAAATAATGGTTCACATTTGCATTTTTATATATGGTCAGTGGCATAGACATAAATAAATATAAATTACATCTCTTGAATTATATCAATATCTCCTTTATATAAAAGGGTTTACTTTCATGGCTTCTCAGCTATGTCACGTATGCTAAAATATTCAGGGAAATAATCAGCCAATCAAAACATCAATTCATTACACGTCACTTAAAACATTAAACAGTCAGCCAATAAAAACATACTCACATCCCCGCAGCACAATAATCAATCCTATTATAGTTCAACAACCCCTCCCAAACAAAAAACCCCAACGAAAGAAGAATAGAGGGCAGCCCAATAATGAAGCCCAATATAGTTCAACAACTCAGCCAAAACACAAAACCTAAATCAGTCTGCTACGCTTCTTTGTTGTCTACGCATCTGTGACCGAAATTACAGAAATAAAAAAAGCCAGTAACGATTCTCCTTCCTCCCATTTGAAATTCAACATCTCCATGAACGGCTCGTCTTCCTACCCACAAAGCCACGTTCTCCTGCTGTAAATACCCACGATGTAGAATCTGCAACGTCAGCCCATTCTAATACACCAGTGAACCAAGAATCAAATATACATACCTGCAAAAATTTGGGTACCAACATCACCTGTACACATCAACTCTGGTTACAAGTATGAGAATGGTTCTTTTTTTTTAACATGTAACTGAAACAAAAATTTCAAAAAGAAGAAGACGTATCTCATCAGCCCTTCATATATATGAACTATCTAGAGTATATATTGCAATGCAGAAATTATATCTGGAAACTAATGGCATAAAATAGAATTTACTCTGAAGAAATGTTTCCATCATCTGAAGCATCATAACGGCTTTGTAATTCACCCTCCAAATTTAGTTACATACTTAGGCATGAAGTAGAGCAAGTAGTCATAGTTGCTGCAGTCACTTTCAAGTTGAGGCTGGCATATTCGGGTATAGAATATAAGATTACTCTATGAAAGAGCTACTTCAAAACCTGTAAAGCCGTAGACATTTTAGAACTGATTGCTTGCATTTTTTATTGGTTGCAGATTTGCAGTACCCGGTAAACATATGCAAAAACATATGCAAAAAGACAAATCCTTACATTTCCAATGGGACATATGGTTATGCTTTAAAAGTATTCCCAAGAAGACTTGCACTGTTGATAAGAACACCATGTGAACCTGACAGCAACAGTTACGTAGAGCTTGATACTTCACATTCATAACCCAATCAACAGACAACAGAAAATCAATATAAAAATGAATGGATTTAATGTATTCTCGATAAATCTAAAACATTTAAAACATACTTTGTCAATTAAGTCATGGGAGTGAAAAAGAATCAGCGTTAGAATTTTTACACCGTTTGAAAGCATAATGAATACCTTTTAGAAGGAGTAGCCTCAAAACAAAGACCTCTTAAATATAGATTCAACCTTATTGAAGAACATGTGTCTTTGGATTTGAGCGAGAGCAATTGAGATTGGACACGCCATGGCTGTGCTAGGAAATGAGGTGGAGCAAAGTTATAAATTGTATCTTAGGACCCATCAGAGACTATTTAAAGAGACTGTCTTAAGTCGGTGAAGCAGATTGGGAATTTGTGGTCGGTAACTCTGAACATGGTTTTGTTAGGGGTTGCAAAGAAATTGGTGAGCCTGTAGATGAAG